GTACTGCGAGGCTTAGATTCTCAGCTCAGGAACAAGTTGGCCTTCAAGGAAACTATTTTACCGATGCTGAATCACAAGGCTATTTCGAGTTGACTCGACGCATTACTGAAGGCGGCTAAAGTCATGAAGCTGCTCAAGCTGACTAAGGTGTAGCGGCACTCGTTTGTCTCCTGAAAAGTGCTAGAAAACCAACTGGCCTCGGTCAAATTGACGCGAACCCTTGGCATTAAAAGACTTCTGAATGGTTGATGGCAGAATTGCCGCTTCTTCGATCTTCCTAAAGCTTCGGTTGAGCGCAGCTCTTACATTGTTGGACAGTAGGCGAACCTCTTCGCTAAGTTCTTTCAGTCCTTCTAGTGAAGTGCCTTCGACGCAGAAAATTTCTCTCAGGCCATTGGGTACTTTGAGTGTCCCCCGAAGTTGCGCGTCATTACACAGTAACTCCAGCCAAGATCGAGATCTCTCTAAGAGTAGAAGCTCAGCCCCGGACGGTACGCTAAAGTATTCTGTCGGCATGCAGTAGCCGATAGCAGCAATATCGTAGCTTGAGACGTTTATTTCAGTATCGGCCTCCGACTTGACGGACTTAAGTAGGCGAATGACGCGCCGGAGGTTGCCGTCAACTGTCACATCCTTCTCGTCAATTCTAAAATTATGAAGAAAGGGGAGGTTGTGAATGGGCTGACGAGTGGCGCTATCGAATACGCTGACGCCACGATGGATGACGTCCGAAGTCATTATAAATTCTTGAGTCTCACGCCAGCTGGCGATCACAACATCTACGTCTCGTTGTAATGAGCCCCCACTCATGTTGATGGCCTTGCCTGGCGCCATGTCAACGCTAACAGCTGGAAATTTCTCTGTTAGAATTTCACCGCAATGCGCTCGCAACTGTGCGAAATCAGCGACCGGATCTCCTTGGTAAGGCGGCCTGTTGCTGGGCGGCTCAATATAAAGGAAGCGTTGTTCTAGAACCAATAAATCTATGTCGCTGTAACCCTTGATATGGGTGTCGCTAGTGACTGATCCTTGAAGTGTAAACTGTGGCTTGCCTATGCCTGGCAAACGGAAAGACGAACGTATTTGTTCAGCTACTCTACGGGCTTCATCCTTGGATTTCTGAGTATACATGGAATCAATCGGCATCATCGCGTCGATGACGAACTCGACATTCTCATCTTCCTGAAGAGAGGCAAATTCTCTGTAGAGGGCCTTTTGTAGGCTTTCTGGGTCTCGGCGTGCGCGCAAGCTGCCTAGCTTACTGGCCATGTCTTTCCCTCTCTGGTTTCAAGGTTTTTCAATTAACTGTTGATAC